TTCTGGCTTTAAAAAATAGCCCCCACCCCTGCTCCTTTGCCGCTTCTCTGTTGCCCTGCTTACCAGCTCCCTTTTGGTGTAGTCAATAAACTTCTATTTCCTTTGTTCTGCCTCAGGTGAATTCTTTCACCGCCTAGACCACCAGCCCCCCACCCCATCAGACTGTAGCCTCACTTTGGGTCCCCCCCCCCCAGCCAATCAGAGAACATCACATGCTTGGCAGAGCTTTGAATGCCCCAGGACAATGGGGAGCTATGGGCAGTGTTGTTGTTAACATAACAGCTTTATTGAGATATAAGCCACGTATCATACGATTTGCCCTTTTAAAATGTACAATTCGGGAATCCCTGGGTGGCTCAGCGGTTTAGCGCCTGCCTTCAGAGCAGGGCGTGATCCTTGAGTCCCGGGATCAAGTCCCACATCGGGCTCCCTGCATGGAGCCTGCTTCTCCCTCTGCCTGTGTCTCTGCCTCTCTCTCTCTCTCTCTCTCTCTCATGAATAAATAAATAAAATCCCTTAAAAAAATAAAAAATAAAATGTACAATTCAAAGTAAAATCAAATGTACATTTCAGGGGCGCCTGGGTGGCTCAGTGGTTGAGCATCTGCCTTTGGCTCAGGTCTGAATCCTGGGATCCTGGATCAAGTCCCACATCAGGCTCTCCACAGGGAGCCTGCTTCTCCCTCTGCTAATGTCTCTGCCTCTCTCTTTGTGTCTCTCATGAATAAATAAATAAAATATTTTTTTTATTTTTTTTAAGTTTTTATTATTTATTTATGATAGTCACAGAGAGAGAGAGAGAGAGAGAGAGAGAGAGAGGCAGAGACATAGGCAGAGGGAGAAGCAGGCTCCATGCACCGGGAGCCTGACGTGGGATTCGATCCCGGGTCTCCAGGATCGCGCCCTGGGCCAAAGGCAGGCGCTAAACCGCTGCACCACCCAGGGATCCCCAATATTTTTAATAAATAAATAAATTAATTTAATTAAATGTACAATTCAGTGGTTTTTAGTTGGGGTTTTGTTTGTTTGGTTTTTGGTTTTTAGTATATTACTGAAGTTATGCAACCATCACGCTACAATTTAGAAGATTACATCATCCTCAAAAGAAACCCCGGTACTGGTCAGCAGTCACTCCCCTTTCCCCGCATTCTCTCAGCCCCAGGCAACCACTAATCTATTTTCCATTTATGGCATTCCATATAAGTGGAACGTGCAGCCTTTTGAGTCTGGCCTCCCTCACTTAGCATGTTCATCTATGGGGCAGCATGTATATGTCAGTATTTAATTTCTTTTCATTGCCAAATAACAGTCCATTGTGTGGATGCACCACATTTTATTCATCAGTTGATGTGCCATGTTTCCACCTTTTGACTCTTATGAACAATGCTGCTATGTACATCCACGTACAAGGTTTTGTGTGAACATAAGTTTTCAGTTCTCTGGTATATTCCTAGGAGTAGAACTGCTGAGTCATATGGTAACTCTAAGTTTAACCTTTTGAGGAACTGCCACATTGTTTTCCAAAGTGGCTGCACCATTTTACATTCCTAACATCAATGTATGAAAGTTCTGATTTCTCCACCGTCTTGCCAACAGTTGGTATTTTCCATTTAAAGGAAATTACAGGGCAGCCCAGGTGGCTCGGAGGTTTGGCGCTGCCTTCGGCCCAGGGCCTGATCCTGGAGTCCCAGGATCGAGTCCCACGTCGGGCTCCCTGCATGGAGCCTGCTTCTCCCTCCGTCTGTGTCTCTGCCTCTCTGTCTCTCTGTTTCTCATGAGTAAATAAATAAATAAATAAATAAATAAATAAATAAATAAATAAATAAATGAAATTACAGCCATCTGGGGCGCCTGGCTGTGACTTTTGATCTGGGGTATCATGAGTTCAAGCCCCACATTAGGTGCAGAGGTTACTACAAAAAATAAATAATAAAAAAACAAATATAAGAAATTATAGCCATCCTCCTGGGTGTTAAGTGGTATCTCCTTTTGGTTTGAATTTGCATTTTCCTGATAACATGTTGAACATGTTTTTCATATGTTTCTTGGCCTTTGTATATCTTTTTTAGAGAAATGTCTATTCAGATCCTTTGTCCATTTTTTTTTTAAGATTTTATTTATTTATTCATGAGAGACACAGAGAGAGAGAGAGAGGCAGAGACACAGGCAGAGGAAGAAGCAGGCTCCATGCAGGCAGCCTGAGGTGGGACTCAACCCAGGGTCTCCGGGATCACACCCTGGGCTGAAGGGGGCGCTAAACCGCTGAGTCACCCTGGCTGCCCCCTTTGTCCATTTTTTCATTAGGTTCTTTGTCTTATTATTATTGAGTTCCACCGCTTCTTTGATTTATTTATTTTTTTTTTCGCTTCTTTGATTTAGATACAAGTACCTTATTAGGGGTACCTCGGTGACTTGGTCAGTTGGTGCCCGACCCTTGGTTTTGGCTCGGGTCGTGGTCTTTGGGTCCTGGGATTGACCTGCGTGGGACTCAGCATTCAATGCAGAGTCTGCCTAGGATTCTCTGCTTCTCTCTCTCTGCTCCTCCCCCCCCCCCAGGCTCTCTTGCTCTCTAAAATAAATAAATAAATAAATAAATAAATAAATAAATAAAACGGGATCCCTGGGTGGCTCAGCGGTTTAGCGTCTGCCTTTGGCCCCGGGGCGTGGTCCTGGGGTCCCGGAATCGAGTCCTGCATTGGGCTCCCTGTGTGGAGCCTGCTTTGCCCTCTGCCTGTGTCTCTGCCTCTCTCTCTCTGTGTGTGTGTGTGTCTCTCATGAATAAATAAATACAATATTTAAAATAAATAAATAAATAAATAATCTACCCCCCCCCAAATATCTTATCAAATACATGATTTGCTGGGCAGCCCGGGTGGCTCAGTGGTTTGGTGCCTGCCTTCGACCTGGGGTGTGATCCTGGAGACCCGGGATCCAGTCCCATGCCTGGCTCCCTGCTTGGAGCCTGCTTCTCCCTCTGCCTGTGTACATTCTACCTCTCTCTGTGTTTCTCATGAGTAAATAAATAAAATCTTTAAAAAATATATGATATGCAAGTTGTTTTTAAATATTTTATTTATTTATTTGACAGAGAGAGCACAAGCAGGGGGAGCAATAGGCAGAGGGAGAAGGAAAAGCAGGCACCCCACTCAACAAGCAGCCTAAGGCTAGGCTCCATCCCAAGGTCCTGGGATCATGCCCTGAGCTGGGGCAGATGCTTAATGGACTAGGCCACCCAAGCCCCCCTGATTCGAAATTCTTTCCCCTTTCTGTGGGCCCTCTCTTCACTTTCTTGATGACATCCTTTGAAAAACAAAACTTTTTTTTTTTTTTTTTAAGTAAACTCTATGCCCAATATGGGGCTCAAACTCACAACCCTGAAATCAAGAGTTGCAAGCTCCACTGACTGAGCCAGCTGGGTGCCTCTGAAACACAAAACTTATTAATTTTTTAAAAGGTTTTATTTATTTATTCATGAGAGACACAGAGACAGAGAGAGGCAGAGACACAGGCAGAGGGAGAAGCAGGCTCCATGCAGGGAGCCTGATGTGCAACTCGATCCCATGACTCCAGGATCACATCCTGAGCTGAAGGCAGGCGCTAAACTGCTGAGCCACCCAGGCGTCCCAAAACTTACTAATTTTGATGAAGTCCGATTTGTCTATTTTTTCTCTTGTTGCTTCTGCTTTTGGTGTCATATCTAAGAAACCATTGTCTACTTATGGATGGTTTTAAGTAGGGATGGGCTATGGCCAAATTTAAGTGTTTGGATATTTTTAAAGATTTTATTTATTTAAGAGATAGAGTGAGCGAGCAAGAGAATATGAGTGGGGGAAGCAGCAGAGGGAGAGGGAGAAGCAGACTCCCTGCTGAGCAGGGAGCCAGATGCTGGGCTCCATCCCAGGACTTTGGGACCATGACCTGAGCTGAAGGCAGATGCTCAACAAACTGAGCCACCTAGGTACCCCTCAACTTTAAGTTTTATTTTATTTTATTTATTTATTTTTTTAACTTTAAGTTTTAAAGTATCATTCTTTCTGCTTGTAATTAGAAGAAGGAAGACTGGTGAAGTAAGGAACTTCTGTGATCACCCTTGCTAAAACCGCAACCCCTCCTTCACTTCATTTCTCCTTTCTGCTTCAAATTTCTCCATACACTTATATTCTAATAAACTGTATAATAATGGTTATTGTGTTTATTGACTGCCTCCATCACGAGAATGTCAATTCCCTGAACTGGGCTTGTCTGTTCACTGCTCTATCTCTAGTGCCTAGAACAGTGCCTGGTGTCCGTCTATCTATCATCTATCTATCTTTATCTTTCTTTCTATCTCTCTATCTCTCTATCATGTCATTGAGATTTTCAGAAAGCTGAAAGGACTGAAGGGAGCAGGTGCCGTCTCCCTCTGCACAGGCCACTAAGAAACCCATGGCGGGGACGCCTGGGTGGCTCAGTGGTTGAGCGTCTGCCTTTGATTCAGGGCCTGATCCCGTGGTCCTGGGATCCAGTCCCACATCGGACTCTTGCAGGGAGCCTGCTTCTCCCTCTGCCTGTGTCTCAGCCTCTCTTTCTCTGTCTCTCATGAATAAATAAATAAAATCTTTAAACAAGCAAACAAAGAAACCCACGCTGAAGGGAGTGGGGAGGAGGGGCCTGGTAGTAACCACAGGGAGAGAGGACCCTCTGGATGCTCTCCTGCTTGAGGAGCCTGATAGGGAGAGAGAGAGGCTAACAGATGTCATGACATCGAGTAAATACCTATTTGTTGAGTGGAGTGAGTAAATAAGTGAACGAAAGGCTGCACGGGTGCGTGACAAAATGAAAGAACGAACAGATGCTGTGTGGTGAGGACTCGGGCGGGATCTTCCCCGGCAGGGAAAGGCGGCGCGGGGGCTCCCGCACCGTCCCTTGCAGCCGCCAGGGGGCGCAGACAGGCGCGGTCCCCGAGATCCCGTCCCGGGACCCCGCCCCCCGGGATCCAGGCCCCGGGAGCCCCAGCCGCGTGGCCGGGGCCTGGGACTCCGGGGCCGCGCGCATACCTGCACGGCGCACGGCCGCGGGCTTCCCGCGGTGCAGCGACCAGTCCCTGCGCTGCAGCCGGGGAAACTGAGGCCCGGGCGGCTGGGGCGGAGCTGGCCCGCGAGCGAGCGGAGCCCCCGCCCCCGGCCGGCCCCGCCCCGGCCCGTAAGAGGCCCCCTGCGCGCGGGGAGAAGGCGCACAGCGCGGGGCCGGGCCCGGACGGCGATGGCAGCTCAGCGGCTGGGCAAGCGGGTGCTGAGCAAGCTGCAGTCTCCGTCGCGGGCTCGCGGGCCGGGGGGCAGCCCCGGGGGGCTGCAGAAACGACACGCGCGTGTCACCGTCAAGTATGATCGGCGGGAGCTGCAGCGGCGGCTGGACGTGGAGAAGTGGATCGACGGGCGCTTGGAGGAGCTGTACCGCGGCAGGGTGAGCGGGGAGGGGACGCGGGCCAAGGCGGGGCGCGGGGCTCTCGCGCCCGCCCACCCTGGGCCCGGACCCCTTACACCCTCGGGGTCTCTGGTGGCTTGTGCCCGCCTCGGTCCCGCAGGAGAACGCACGGCCGGGGACCAGGCATTCTCGGGGCTCGCGGGCCCCTGCTCGTGGACGCGGACACACACTTGGGTGTCCAGGGATGCGCGCAAGCACCTGGGGAAGGCCGGAGGTTGAGCATGTGGGGGGCGAGGAGGCAAAGTCGGGGAGCCAGGGCGGCTATATCTGGAGAAAGGCTGGGGGAGGGGGATGTCCCAAAGCCAAACATAGATAGGCTGGAGTGACCGGCAGGATACCGAGAGGCAGAGGCACGCACAGCAAAGGAAGGAACGGGGGACTCACAGCCGTGCACGGGGACAAGTTAGGGCCGCCAACAGACCCAGCGGCAGAAGCAGGCGCCCCGCACAGACTCCCCGGGACACAAGCTGTGGTCACCTACGGATCACACGTGCTGCAGCCACACACACCCACAGACACAATAGCCCAGGCACAGCCTCGCGCAGACGCCCCCGCCAACTACACCCACGCAGAAGGACTCCAGTTACAGCTACTGGTAGCCCGCGGTGGAGCCGAGGGTGCAAGCTACAGCCGCTACAGCCGCTACCCTGCGACACCAAAGGATTCCAGGAACAGCCATCCATTGCAAGAACCACATGCAGACACAGTGACAGATGCTACGGCCACTCACAGACACACACACACAAAAGAATTAAAAACACACCCAGACAGAAGACCCCATGAGCTGTAGGTACAGACAGACCCACCATGGCAGAAACTACAGCCGACCGTGGGCACACGGGACACAAGCGGCAGCCTCATGTGGACGCATAGGCTACAGACAGACATTTCACACCTTTCACTTGAGTCTCTGCTGGCAGTCACACCGTGCCACACACAAAACACAATTACGGGGACCTGGTGGTTGTGTCAGTACCCAGACTGGATGTACAAATGCTCCTCGGCACAGCTCAAGGGTGACGGAAACCATGGTCCCTCACAGTGACACAGGGTCCCACTGTTCTCAGGCACACCCGAGGCTCCTATAGGTGGATAGAGAAGTCCAGCTGCCCTTGGTAGGTGGTATCCCCTAAGGTCATCCTCCAGACGGTGGGCATTACAGCTCCCAGGACACATGACCGGGAGACAAACACAGCAGAGCCAGAGCCACACACCTCGAGGTCCTGGGACCACAGTCCACACCCACGACGGCGCCCAAGGTGCACCATGCCTCTGCCAGTCCCGGCCCCCTGGCATCGGGCTCTGGCTCACTCACACAGGCGTGTGACACATTTGTCGACTGCTGAACCCCCTTCACACACGAACCTCGGTACCACCCAGCCCTGAGGCCCACAGTGAAGTCAGAAGGACTTTGGGTGGGGGAGGAGGAACTCTAGCCTCAGGGATCTCTTGCTTTGACAGCTGGGTTCTGTCCCCCCGCAGGGATAGTGAGCCAGCCTGCTTGTGGCGTGTGGCTTCTTGCCCCAAGAGGCTGTACTAGGAAGCGCCCCCTGGGCTGCCCAACGTTGGGCTCGTGGCTCATCCCACCCGCCCACTCTGGGGGCTGTTGGTGGTCATCCCTCTGGACTGACCAGGCTGCATCCTTGGCCCTGGGGGCTGGCCTGAGCCCTACCCCCTCTTGCGGTCCCCTAGGCAAGGGGCCTCCCCCAGCAGGCTCTGGCCTGCCTGCTCCCCTCCCCCACACCTAGTGCTGAGACTTTGCCTTGAAAGGGCAGAGCCAGCCCCTCTTCTGAATCCCAGAATCTGACATTCCAAGACTCGACCAGGCCTGTTTCCCTCTATGGGAACTGGGGCCAAGGAGAGAGACCTGTGCCAGCCCCAAGGCTCTCGGGCCTCTGGGGCCTGGGCATCTGAGCTGGTGCAGGCCCCTGGGCCTCTGTCAACCCATCTGTCACCCCTCCCCCCACCACCCAGATGTCCCGCCTTGGCGGTGCTGTCCCTGACTGCCACATTGTTGCTCCAGAACCCGCCAGCTGGCCCCTGGGGCTGGTGGGGCTTCTCCAGAGGCCTGGACAAAGGCGAGGGAGGGTCGGGCAAGGGACCCTGACCACCCTCCCTCCCTCCCCACCTTAGGAGGCAGACATGCCCGATGAGGTCAACATTGATGAATTGTTGGAATTAGAGAATGAAGAGGACAGAAGCCGGAAAATCCAGGTAGGCTGAAGGGAAAGCTGCCTCCCTCCTTCCTAAAGATCACAACAGCCTGCGTGTTTATTGAGCACTTACTATGTGCCCGGCACCGTTTTAATTGCTTTCCACTTAACTCATTTAATCCTCACAAACACTATGAAGGATTTACCATGAAGGGTTTACTCTCCACCTTCCAGATGGGGAAAATGATTTCATCACTCATCCAGGGTCACAGGGCCACAGCTCGCCGGGCAGGCCGACTGCCAAGGCCTTGCAATTAGGACCTGTGCTCTCCAAGAGGCAGGAAATGCTGAGTGACCTTTTGGCCCTCTCTGGATTTCCAGCTGATCCTGGTGGCTGAGTTTCTGGCCTCAATCCTGCCCCGGTTGCTATCTAAGACCCTGGGGCCATTTCTTCCCTGGCACTTTGAATGATGAATGACTGGAAGTCCACCCTGGAATCTGACTTCCTCTTGTCTTGTTGCCTTGGGGCTTTGTTGGGAAAGAGAAGGGGCCCGAGGGGCCTAGGTGCTGGTTATTTACTATTTTCTTTTCTTTTTTTGTTGCGGGGGCGGGGTGTTTAGGGACTCCTGACATCGTGCGGCAACCCCACAGAGGTGAGAGTTCCCTCCCTGCATCCTGGTCCCGAGAAGGGGGTCCCCCGGGAGGAGGGGAGAGGGGAGAAGCTGTCTGGCCCCGGGGGCGGCAGAGGGAAGTCTGGGGGGAGCCCTCTGGGTCTCTCGGCCCTTTGCTCCAGTCGTGTCTTTGTCTTGTCACCCCGGCTCCTCTCTCCCCATCTGCCACTGGGGCCCGTCCTCTCCTCCCCGCTGAGACGCGCCCCATCTGTGTCCGGTGTCTGCCGCTCCCTTGCGGTCCTCGGTCCTCCCCTTCGGGCTGCCAGTCCTGGGGCTCAGCCTGTCCCGGGGCTCTGTCCCCCGGGGCTCCCTCCCCTACCGCCGCCCTGGGATTCCCTTCCGCACCTCTGCCCCCCACCCCCCATCCCTCCAGGCCCTGAAGCCCAGCCACCCAGCCCCTCCCACTTCCTTCCCTGCTTTAAAAGGGAAAAATATTCATGTTTCTCCAACCAGCTCTGGGCTGCCTGAGGGACAAACGTCACCCTGTGTCTGTCTGCCCTGGAGCGAAGGCCTCTGTCCCTGGGGACCCTCGTGGTGCTCTCTTGGCCTGAGAAACATCTTGATGTCTCTCTGTGGCTGTTCCTTTCTCTGTCCTTTTTGTCTCTCCCTCTGCTGCTGTCTCTGTTTCTGTCTCTGTGCCTCTGTTTCGGTCTCAGCTTCTGGATCTCTCCCTGTGTCTCCCTGTGTCTCCCTGTGTCTGACTCTGTGTCTCTCTATCTGTCCCCCCCCTTCCCCACCGTCTCTGCCTTTCCAACCCCTCCCCAACTACCTCCAGGCCCTCTCACTGCCCGGGCTGCGGGATGGGATGCTGGATGGGATATGGGATGGGATGCTGGATGGGATGTGGGATGTGAGGGGCCAGAGCCCGGGGTCTGAGGCCTGGGCTGGGCAGGGGGCCTCCCCTCCCATCCCCCCCACCTCCCGAGTTCTTAGGACCCCTGCCCTGTCCTCAGGACTTTGTCCAGGAGTTGCTGGTGAAGCTACGAAGCCTCCACAAGCAGCCAGGCCTCCGCCAGCCCAGCCCCTCCGAGGAGCGCAGCCTGGGCCCCCTCCAGGACCCGGCCCGGACCGCGCCACCCTGACCTTGCCCCCGGGGCGCCCTCCCTTCTCCCCTACCCTCCCCACCGTCCTGGCTTGTTTATAAGTTGTATGTGATGGTTCTGTTACAACACCGTGCGCCTGTTTTTCTCCTCCCTGATTACCGTGGAGTTCCCCGAGCTCCCCCCACCCCGCCACCTCCCTCCCTCCGGCTGAGTCTCCTCGCCTCCCAGCCCCGCAGCTGGCCCGACAGATGGAGAATCAGTCTGCAGCCAGAGAGCATGAGAACCGGCCCTGCTGACCCCGCACCGCCCTCCCCTTCCAGGACTCCTCTTGTCCTCCTTCCCCCCCAGCCTTGGCCTCAGGGCCCCTGTGGGTGCCATTCAGGGCTCCCATGGTAACGATGGCCCGTGGTCCTTGCACCATGGGAGATGCGCAAAACCAAAGGTACCCAGTATCACCTCGGCACACCATGAACAGACCAAGAGGGCTTCCTGAAGGAAGTGACGTTGAGGCAAGGCTTTGAAGGCTGCATAGGGGTTTGTGTGACATGGGTACTCGTGTCCGAGGGCTCTGAACCTTGTGGACGGAGGAGGGATTGATGTCGAGGCTAAGCCAGGGACGACAGCACATACTGGCGGGGCCATCCACCAGCCAGGATGGGAGGCCGCTGGCTGGGCCGAGCCCCAGGGAGGTCTGAAGGGTTCCAGGGGAGGGGCCAGGGCATCAGAAGTGGGTGGTAGCTATTTATACTTCCCTAACTGTGGAAGTATTTCAGGATTTTAACAGCAACCTAGTTGAGCTTTGCGCAGTGGCAGTATCGTAGCCAATGAGGTTTATCCGAGGCGCGATTATTGCTAATTGAAAACAGCAACCTAGCTGTCCGCTGCCTGTCTGTGGTCCGGGGAGGGGTGGGGCAGGGCCACAGCTCGGGCATCTCACCCCACCCCCGCCGCATCTTGCCTCTACTGACTGACATGGGGGGCCTGGCCCCCATCCTCACCCCGCACCACCCAGCAGCCCAGCCAAGGTACCCGTCCCAGGGGGGCTGAGCTCCAATCTGGCAGGAGGAGAAGATGCCACTGAAGAAGAGGAGGCATGCAGGAGCCCCTTGCCTGTCCAGCCCTGCAGGTGGCTTTGCTGCCCCTTCCACAGACAGACCTCTGGCTTCCAGTGTCCCCTTTCCTCCATCCAAATGTATAGTGAACGGATGTGTGGAGGATGGAGGCAGCCCTCCTGGTATCCAGTCACCTGGGCGCATCTCCCAGAACATCCCCTTGGGCTTAGGGAACTCCAAACTTCCCTCTTGCAGAACCTGTTTTTGGTTCCTCATTCTGTGATACGTGCTCAAAACCCAGGTTCTAAAGTCCTGGGTGCACCATGTGTTGAGCTGCTCAGTTTCCTCATCTGGAAAATGGGGACTTCATGAATGAGGAAATTGAGGCCCGGTTTAGTGATACCACTTGCCCAAAGTCACACAGCTGGGAGGTGGCACCAGGCTTCCAATCCCAGGCATATGACTCCAGAGCCCAACTACCGAACTACGCTGCAGTGCTCTTGTAAACCATAGTGGTGATGGCTGTACATTAGTGTCGTGTGTGTGTGTGTGTGTGACTATTTCATACTAAAGTGTTAGTGACTGCTCATGCTCCTGAGATAACCTATCTAAAGGGCCATACAACTTGACTGAGAACAAGGCTGCAGCAAAAACATTGGGAAGGAGCATAACAGTGGATAAGAGCATGGACTCGGGTCCTTGCCTGGATTCAAATGCCATCTGTCCCCCTTCCTCGTTGTGTGAACTTGAATAAGTCACTAAACCTTTCTGTGCTTCAGTTTCCACATCTGTGAAATTCAGCTGTGAATTAGAACAGTACCTACCCTAGCATTGTTGCGAGATTTAAATATACAGATCATAGACTAGTGCCAGGCATGTGACAAGCATCGCTATCAATCTTACCATTGTAGGGATTTGCCGGGAGTTGCTGGACCATTGGCTCCTACAAGCCATCGTCCCTGGCCAGCAAACTTGTGCCTTGGGAACACTGATTTTCAGGCCCTCTGATGTGGCAAAGCCCCGGAGGACACAGTGTACCCGACTTGCCCACCCTTGCATTGCTGTGCACCCCCCCACCACCACTTTCCCAGTCACCAGGCCCCCTGCCTCCCAGGGTTGGTGCTGTTCCAGGACATCTCTCCTTCACTCACCTTTGTCTCCACCCGCCCCATTCCCTCTTTCTCCTTCCTCCAATTCATCATTTTAAAAAAATCAGTTTCTTGGTATTGTTCTAGGATTTTTCTTTTTTCTTTTATTTCAGAGAGATAGAGCTCAAGCAGGGAGTGTGGCAGAGGCAGAGGGAGAAGCAGGTGCCCCTGTTCTAGGATTTCCCGATGCACATACAAACAAGTGGGAGCCTCAAGTCTATTGTTCCCAACCCCCGTTTCTTAATGTGAACATTATGTTATGACACTGCCCTAACTTTGCTCTTTTTTTTTCCCCCTAACTTTGCTCTTTTTCACCTAAGGACCTGTCTTGGAGATCTTTCATATCCACAACCCCTCCGTGGACTTACCAGGCTGTAGAACAAAAGCCAAAGTCCTCCCCTACACACCCCTCCCTGTCACCTGCCACCGCTCTGCATTACTCCGTCTCCCTTCTGTCCTCCGTCTGGACGTCTCCGGACCTCTCCTTCCCATCCTCACTCCCTCCAGGACTACAGACCCATCTCCTCTGCCCAGAGTACTCTTCTCCGAGTGTCCCTCATCCTCCTTTAATATAATCTCGGAAAAGTATCTGGGAGCCCCTTGCGTAAGGAGCCACTGTGTCACTATCCTGTCACCCTGATTTAGTTTCTCCGTAGAATTTCTTACAATCTGACATAATCTTTTTAAAAATGATTTATTTATTTATGAGGGGAGGAGAGGCAGGGGGAGAGAGAGTGTCTTAAGCAGATCGGTGCTGAGCCCAAGGGGGATTCATCCCCGACCCCAAGATCACCACCTGGGCCAGAGAGTCGGACCCCCAACGGACTGTGCAGCCCGGGCGCCCCAACACTGATATAATTTTAATTATTTTGTCTATCTACACTCCCAGACTTTCAGATATTATCTCCTTGCCTGCCTTGAGCATGGCTATCCTAACATCTGGAACAGGGTCGGGCAGCAGTAGGTACTTGCCCCAAACAGTGCCCCCTGGTGGCCACGTTCTCTCCACTCAGCAGCAGGTCTCCTCGCAGCTAAGTGAGGCCTCAGCGCCCCCTCGTGGCTCTATGAGTCGGTTTAAACTGCACCCCAGGGGTTGGTGACCCTGGTGGCCGGGGACTGTCAGCTGGATTTTAAGTAGAAGAGCAGACTCCAGAGGCAGCTGCTGTAAAGCACGCACCCAGCCCTGATCAACATTAGGGCCTTCGGGGCAGCCCGGGTGGCTCAGCGGTTTAGCGCCGCCTTCAGCCCAGGGCGTGATCCTGGAGACCCGGAATCGAGTCCCACGTCGGGCTCCTTGCAGGGAGCCTGCTTCTCCCTCAGCCTGCGTCTCTGCCTCTGTCTCTGTCTCTCATGAATAAGTAAATAAAATCTTAAAAAAAAAATTAAAATAAGGGACGCCTTGGGTGACTCAGTCAGTTAAGCTTGTGCCTTTGGCTCAGGTCATGATCCCAGGTCCTAGGAGCAAGCCCAGCGGTTGGGTTTCCTGTCTGCTTCTCCCTCTCCCTCTGCCTGCTGCTCCCTCTGCTTGTGCTCTTGTCCTCTGTCAAATAAATAAATAAAATCTTAAACAGTAAAACATACAGAAGGTAATCTGAAAAAAATGAAACCATCCATGTCCTTGGATAGGGTATCAATATTATCTACATGTCAGTTCTCTTGAAATTAGCCAATAAATTTAAAGCTATCTTAATCAAAATTCCAGATTTTTTTGAGGTACTCGATAAACCAATTCTAAAATTTATGTGGAGGAATAAAGGTATACAAATAGCTAAGTCACCATTAAAAAGGAAGGGGGGAGTCTTGCTTTACCAAATATTGAGACAAGCTGCAAAGCCATAGTTATAAAAATAGTGTGTTGCAAGAACAGATGAATACACCAAAGGAACAGAACAGACTCGCAGGCAGAGCCAGACATGTATAGGGACATAAAATGAGAGAGGTGGCACTGCCATTGGTGGGGGAAGGGTGGGTTGTTCTTTGTGGCTTTCAGAAAAGTGGCTCAGTATATGGAGAGAAAAAAGATGATCCTTACCTCATCCCCCACCCCCCCAGATAGACTCCAAGGGTGCCTGGGCAGCTCAGTTGGTTGTCTGCCTTGGGCTCGGGTCACAATCCCAGAGTCCAGGGATCGAGCCTGGCGCTGGGCTCCCTGCTTGGTGGGCAGCCCGCTTTTCTCTCTCCTCCCTGCTCATCCTTTCTCGCTACCTCTGTCTCTCTCTCAAATAAATAGGTAGAATCTTAAAAAAAAAAAAAAAAAAAAAAAAAACAGAAAAAAGATAGATTCCAGATGAAGTAAAGACCGAAATGTAAAGAATGAAATTATGGAGTTAATGGGACCCCGGGCTGGCTCAGTCTGTGGAGTGTGCGACTCTTGATCTTAGGTTGTGAGTGTGAGCCCCAGAATGGGTGAAGAGATTACTTGCGGAAAAAAAAGAAAGAAAGAAAGAAAGAAAGAAAGAAAGAAAGAAAGAAAGAAAGAAAGAAAGAAAGAAATCCATTTCCTAACAGTTCTACAGGTTGGGAAGTCTGAGATCAGCATGGTTGGGTCCGGGCGAGGACTCTCTCCCTAGCTCACAGATGGCTGTCTTCCTGCTGTGTCCTCACAGGGAAAAAGAGCAAACTCTCTGGTATCTCTTCCTATGACAACAGTAGTTCTATCAGGCCTCATCTAATCCTAGTTACCTCCCAAAGCCCTATTTCCAAGCACCACCACCCTGGGGCTTAGGGCTTCAACATTTGAATTTTGGGTGAAGGGGATGCAACCATTCAGTTCATAACAGTGACTTTTTAAGATTTTATTTATTTGAGGGAGAGTGATGGAGAGAGAGCACAAGTGGGGTGAAGGGCAGAGGGAGAAGCAGACTCCCAGTGAGCAGGGAGCCCAACAGCTCCATCCTGGGGTTCCGGGATCAGGGCCTGAGCCACCCAG